CTTCGCCAGGCGAGGCGCGTGCGCGGTGGCTTCCCGCCTTCCTTCTTCCCGCCGCGGGGGCGGGCGCCCTGCCTGAGGTGAATCGCGGCTGAGTGGCCCGGGCTGAGGCGCGGCGGCTGTCGGGGAAGGGCTGGTAGCGGTCCTTCGGCGCCCGGGAGGTCGGGGTGGGGTGGGGTGGGGTGGGGTTTCCCTCAACGCCCTGGGCAGCGGAGGTGCGGCTCGCGCTGCCTGTGAGAAACGCCTCCGGGCGGCTGCAGTCTGCCTGGGGGAAGCGGTGCCTGTGTCGGTGTGGGGCGGCTGTCGGGGCGGCCGTGGCCGCAAGAGGTGGACGGGGTGGGGGTGTGGGAGGGCAGGGCCGGTTCTCTGCCAGCCTGCCCCGTCGGCACCTGGGGGTGTGAGAGGCTGTGCCTTGAGCGTGGGTTGCTTGTAACGTAGGGAATGCCCGTCGTGTTTGTTAACGTACTGTGAGGGGAGGAGTAAAATCCAGCGGATGAGTTTTTGGTTTGGTGGTTGGTTTTTGTTTGTTTGTTTTTTGCAGAGTAGACTAACATACCTCTGGAAGGAGCAAGGATAGAGTGTGTTACTGAAACAGAGGTGCTGTCAAAACCTCACAATTCCGTGTTGCTTCAGGATCACTAGGTTTGAGTCACGTATTTGATGGTTTAACTGATAAAAGTTTCCCAAAGCGTGATAGGCAATGTATATGAAAGTGATACATTATCTGAGTGGATCTTTTGCTAAATGAAATATAAAGCATATTAAGACTGAAAGCTTTCCTAAATCCCACAGTCAAAACATTCAGTGAATATACTAAGGCCAAAACCAGCCCCCAAGCTTTCTTTTTTCTGCCACAGTTAATTCAATTTGCATACAGGGTACAATGAAATACGAGTAGTGTTAAGTCACTAGAATAAGTTGAGGGGTCACGTGGCTTGACAGTAATTATTCAAAGAAGGTGGAAAGGCAACTGAGGATAAATTTGAGTAAACTTCACCCATGGTGTTACAGTACTACAGTACATTTGTCTATTGCAAAACAAGAGGTGACACCCTCTGTTCAATTTATACAAACTACTTTTTCACTGACTAAAGTGGAAATTTTCTGTCTGTGAGGATAAGTCAATGTGGGCCAGCATTATGAAATGGTGAAACTGAAGGAGCCCACCCTTCTACAATGCCTTACAGTCATTGCACCTGCATCAAGCTCCAGTGGAGTGAAAAGTCTGAAGAATGTCATTGTCAGATTTGGGCCTAATTTACAGTAATCTTTGATCTTAAAGCAAGAATTTAAAAAAAACCCAAGAAATCTAAATTAAACTTGGCCAAACAACTTGATTGTAGAAAATGGAGAAAAAGAAATGTTTACATTAAAGCAGTAAGAAATAAAAGTTTTCCAATGCTCTATGCAGTGCTCTATTTACTAAATTTTGAGAAGACTGATAAAAGGGAGACTTTACTCACTGAAAACAGAGGTAGAAGGCAAAAATATATGCTTGAAATGCTACTGAATTAGTCTGTTTAATGAGTGGGACAGTCAGAATATCCTACAATACCTTATGTAATAGGCCATACCATCTTCTTACTGAATTTCCCAGATACTATAATAAAAACACCAAGCGGAGCAGCAGTACCTTCTCACACAGTTAGGCCTCGTGGGTTTGTCTGCAGTGAAGAATCTGGAAAGCAGTTGTTGTACTATTCCTTCAGACTGACACTGTATTCTTTTCCGCTTTAGCAGCTGGCACTTTGTTACAGAGGGAGAATATTTGACAGAAGATTCCCTCTTTTATACAAAAGAAGGAGAAAGGGTTATTTAGGTTCCAGCTGCTCTAGTGTCAGAAGCTGAACTGGCAGAACTTGAAGACAGTCTGAAGTAAAGCTGTAGCTTTAAGAAATGTCAGAAGCTGGCTCGGTGCTTTCCACATTCAGAGACTCAATGGGTTGACTTTACAGAAGCCTTGCGGATGGGAATGACATCTATTCCATTTGTTCTTTCTTAAAGGCTTCTCAATACAAGCATCCCTGTTTTCAGCACAATCACAGATTTTTGATGGCCTTTACATATACCACTTGGGTAATGGGAAAACGTCTACAGAAAAGACCGCGTTCTAAAATTTTACCATTATGTACCAGATAGCAAAAGCCTAGCACTCACTTAGTCCTACGTGGTATCGGTATATAAACAGATTAGCACATCGTTCAGTGTAAGGGGTGTTACAGTGACCTCAGATGCTTCTAGCGAGGCTTGAAAATGTGGAATTCATCTGGCTTCAGATGGAGCTTTTTTTTAAATAAAGATTGGAATCCAGCATTTCAGAGTATATTGAGTAAAACTCTATCAACATCTATCACAGATGACACAGATCATCGCTAATGTTTTAGGGAAAGCAGCCGAGAATCTGAGGCATAAACGGTCATTTCCAGCAAAGAGAAGAGGGCTCGAAGACGCAGCGTTTTTAAGGCCGGACGATGCCGTACCGCACGGATGTTCCACCGATGAGCACTTCTTTACCTCGCAGCGGTTGCTGTGAGTGCCCGCAGGGGAAAGCCGTGCCTGCCGGGTTTACCCTCGCAGCGCCTGTCAGCGCTCCGCGGCGCGTCACCGGCTTCGGCGGGCACAGATCCCGCTCCCGCGCCCTTCTCCCCCCGCCCGCCATTTCCAGCCCCTCACGCCCGCCGCTGCGCTAAGCCCGCTATGGTAGGACTGACGTCAGGCCTTTGGCAGCCAATCCCCGCGCTCCGAACCTGAGAAGCGGGCGGGGGCGAAGGCGGCTCCCGCCCGCCTTCGTTGTACGGCCGCGCTCGCCTTCGATGCTTTTGGTCCCTCTGCCGGCGCCGTAGGGGGCAGCCCGGCGCCTGCGGCCCCGCGTGTCA